ATACACACAAAAACATTCACATACATACAAAGCCCTCAAGAACCTAGCTCCATCTTATATTACATATAATATTGTTCAATATTTTCCTAACAGACCACTTCACTCTCAAACTGCAGGTTTACTTGTGGTTCCTAAAGTTTCCAAAAGTAGAATGGGAGGTAGATCTTTCAGTTATCAGGCTCCGTTTTTGTGGAACCAACTTCCTGTTTCTGTTTGTAAGGCTGACACTTTGTCTACTTTGAAGATTAGGCTTAAGCCTTTCCTTATTAATAAACCCTATAGTCAGGGTTGGCTTGGGTTTCCTGAGCTATCCCTTAGTCATGTTGCTATAGGCTTAGACTGCTGGAGGACAAATTGACCACATTTCCTCACTCTGTACCTGTCTTTACTTGCACTACATGTTTGTTTGTGTTTGTAATTATATATATCTTAATGTGTGTTTTTTGTCTTTCTTCCAATAGGAGGTACACCTGGACCTGCCACTCTGTGTTTGTTCATTTCTCCTTCCTGTCCCCTCAAACCCCAACCAGTCGAAGCAGATGGTCGTTTGTCCTGAGCCTGGTTCTGCTGGAGGTTTCTTCCTGTTTAAAGGGAGTTTTTCTTTCCACTGTTGCCTTTGTGCTTGCTCAGGATGGGAGACTGAGATTAATTCAACACAATCTGCTGGCTTCATTAGATAAAAAACTTACTTACTGGCTTTTTTAATATATGTGAATGTTTTTGTACAGTGCCCTGAGACAACTTCTGTTGTGACTTACATTTCAACAACTTACTGTTATATAAATAAACTGAATTTGATTGAATTGAATTTAATATACAGTATATAAAATATATGTGATGTTACAAAGTTGCTGCATTATTGCCATTGCATTTATGAACAATGCTTTAAATCTGTGGCAACTTGGTAGCTGGAGCTCATGCTACGTGTGCTGTAGTACCAGATCCATAAAAGGATGAATTTTTGATTGTGTTTTCTTACAGCTGTATCTCTGAATACTCTATAAAAAGCAAAGGCAAATGTTCAACAGTGTGACAGGTGTATTATCAAGATGCATAAACAAACCTCGTCAGCCATGACATAAGTCAGAGAACAGAAAATGGATCAAATTAAATCTTTGTCGTGGCTAGAAATGCTAAAGTTTGCTTGAATGTATCAGTACACCAAAATTTGAGTCAATTTTTGTACAGACTAGACACATTGATTTGGCAGACTTTTACATTCAGCAACATCAGGAGATCAACATTCATGTAGGAACTTCAACATTCAATTGGGAGAATACTGACAAACTAAACAAATTGTGTCACACAAAAATGTATATGTCAATGTAACTTTAAACATGTAGCATTCTTCCACATTGGTATGTTGTTTTGTGAAAGACTAACAAGCCTGAAAAATTATGTAAAATGGGCTCTTGTTTTAGCCTAACCTGGACAATGATCTTTGATTCTTTCTCCATATTCCATGCTAAACGACTGATGTCATGGCTGGTAAGGTAGGAACTATTGGTATATATTTGACAAAACATCACTAAAAACAAACTATCCTTTTAGCTGGAAGTAATAATAAAAAATTGAACTTGTTGGCAAAAAGTAACCTGGACATACCCAAACAATTAATGGTTTCATAACAGGTGCATAGAGTAAATAATTAGAAAAGGCTGCAGTTGAAAGATTAAATCTCTAACTATGTAACTGTTCTCGTCTACATTAATACGTAATGACAGTTTCATACTGGTGGTGAAGCTGTCTGTGAGTGGCTCTGACCGGCCTTCATTGTACTGGGCAAAGATGGCCACAGAGTACTCCATCAGAGACGACAGCTCTCTGAGGTCATACGAACTCACTGGGCCCACGTCAACCTGCAGAACACAACCACATACAAGCATCAAACCAACAGAAGGAATGACATGTCCATCAGCACATTCAATCACATTCAGACAATGTAATAAGAAAATATGGGTCTTTTTTTACTGATTCTTGAATGCACATATTAGAATAAACTTTAACTTGTAGAAATGGAAGCATTTGGTTTAAAAAAACATTGAGTGCAGGCCAGTCAGTTGTTATACTGATATGATAATTCCATGAAAGTCATCTGTTCTTTGTTTTCCATTTACTTTTTCTTTTGCTCTAATCTCTATGAATCTATTTTTAATTGATAGAATTTAGATCGTCTTTAAAAACAAACGCACAGTAAGTCTCACACCTCCTTTGTGACTCGTCCATTTGCCATGACCCACTTGATGTGGTAACCTTCAACTTCCCCAGATGCTTGGTCCCAGCGGATGTGGGCAGAGTTGTGAGTAATGTCAGAAAACTGAAGGTTCTTGGGAGGATTCAGTGGTACTGAAAGGAAAGAAAGCAGGTATTGGTTAAGGATTTTTTTTACACCTTCTTTAAGAATTGGGATATAATCGACAAGTTTATAGTGAAAATGTAAAACATTATTAAAAAAAACCTGTTTGTGCAATTTTTCTTACATGTTGTTTCCTGATTTGTAACAGGGTCACTGGCCTCTTCTCCATACATGGCATAAATAGATACGGTGTATTCTGTGTCAGGCATTAAGCCGTCCAGCTCCAGTTCTGTCACTGCATCGGGTACATTGATCTAAGGACAAGAAGGTAAAAACAAAACTGGATTTAAAAATATATATATATTTTTTGTAAAATCAGCTTTGGATCAAACTGTTTTCTCTATTCCTTTTTTCTTCTTCTTCTTTCTTGTATTACCTCCTTCCTATCTAAGTCTCCATCTTCTGTAAGAGGGGAATACAGTAGCATGTATCCTGAGACTCCATCCACACGGTCCCATCTGGCTGTCATGGTGCTTTGAGTCATATCAAACAACTGGAGGCTGGTCACTGATGAGAGCGCCACTGAACACACACACACACACACAATATTTTAATATTTCAATCCAAGAGAAATCATTAAAATACAAAGTAAGTTAAACCAGAGGTGTGCTGCACAAAGCATCTTAAACTGTATTCGCAATTATGATAGTTGAAGTATTTATTTTCTCTTTAGCATCACAACTCAATTGAAAGGGAGCAGCACCTTTTTTATGTTATGCTTGGTTTTCAAAGTACAAAGTATGTACTTTTGGTCTTTGTTATGAAATTGTTGCTTTCTTTGCACTTGTACTTTATAAAACTGTTATTTTTTAACTATTGAAGCCTGAAACACATATTTTAAAGATACAGTAATGTAAAAGGCTTCTTGGCATGTACGCTATCCGACAGTGTGCATTATTTTTTGATATTATATTCAGTTCACCCACTGCAATGAAAGTCGAGCATGTGTGTTTGTTAATTTATCTGACTGTCGGAAAAATATCTAATGAACCACTTGACATATTTTAATGACATGTTCGGAATGTAGTCACTGGTTGTGCATTCACAACTAATTAACTTCTGGAGTCAGTGTGATTCAAGATGGCCACCACAGCTACTCTATCTTTGCAAATACAAAAATGGCTCGGTCAAATGTACAAAAATGATGGTGTGCTAGTAGCTGAGACTCATTTTGAACACTTTTGAGTGCCAACAGTTCTCTCAGAATATTTAGCATGCAAGGCAGCAGGTAATATGCATTCTCTCAAGGATTATTTAAGGATCACCAGTTTTATTGTTCCCTGTTGAGGAGCGAAGAGGAAGAGTTGGCGATACCCTCCATCCATTTGTTCATCAGTCTGTGCATGTTGCGAGAATCGTAAGTTAAAAAACAAATCTATTCCATTTAGGTGTGTGGCTACATCCAGGCGTAAGGAAGGTTCTTTTCGAAAATTGAGTTGCTAGTTCAAAATCCAAGATGGCTGCCTGCCACCATATACCAGTAAGTACTGTATATGTGCAAACATTGTGAGTTGGATACTTTGAAAAATAAGCAATTTGCTGACTTCATTTATGGTGTGAGGCTGCATCTAGGTATAAAAATGTCCCCTACCAAAAATTGGGTTGCCATGTCAAAATCCAAGATGGCTTCCACCATATATGTCCATTTGTCTGTCTTGTGAGCTGGTTAACTTAAAAAATAAACAAAGTGTCAACTTCCATTTTGGTGTGTGGCTGCTTCTAGGAGTAAGAAATGTCACCATTGAAAATTGGATTTCCAAGTCGAAATACAAGATGGCCACAACCCTATATCGATACGTAAACTGGCCATCCCAATCATTTCAGGAAACTGTGCTCTCTAATTTTGTTTTGTTTAATACAGTATATAGTTTCCTTAAATGATTGTGGTGGCCCTCGGGATGGCAGAAGCTTAATTTATGTTAGTCGAAGCCACCACTGGCCACCCCCGAATTCCTCCATTACAGCTGGTTATGAATAAAATTGCTCCCTCCAGTCTCCAGGATCCGTCACTGTGCATTGCCTCAGACAAGGAAAAAAAAACTCTATTCTTATACACAGTGTAACTGTAACCCACTTGAACATCTCGCACCAAAAACACTAAGGTGTATTTGCATCCCCATTATTTCCAATCCAGAAAAACACTCATCTTGAAACCAACAAACATTTATTATTCAAATCTCTGACAAGGGACATCAGGGTACCACTTGTTAATTCATATTTGAAAGAAAACAATTTTAGCTTCTTTGCTTTGTTGGCTCTTCAACCAGTGAGATGAATTATTATTATTATTATTACACAAATGAATAAGATAAGATAACATAACATAAGATAAGAGTCAGAGTCAGAGTCAGAGTCAGAGTTTCTTTATTGTCATTCGCACCTCATGTGGTACATGTGGTGGAGCGAAATTATGTACACAGGGTCCCAGTTACATCCAACAATAAAATGTATAAGAAAAACAGTAATAACATCTAAGATATGAACTAAGAAAAACATCAACTAAATATACACTAAGCACTCATAACATAAAACATTGAACATCACCACAAACATGAACATGAGTCTGTGAGCAGATGTGCACGCATGAAGACATCAACATTGAAACAGATCAGCAGCAACATGAAACAGATCAGCAGCAACATGATATGGTTTTTCACAGTGATTATTCTAGTTAGAGATTCATGAGTCTAACAGCCTCAGGGTAGAAGCTGTTCCTCAGTCTAGTGGTTCTACACTTAATGCTCCTTAACCTCCTTCCTGAGGGGAGTGGGGCAAAAAGTGTGTGTGCTGGGTGGGTGGGGTCCTTCATGATGCAGGTGGCCCTCTTCCTGCATCTGGAGGTGTAGATGTCTGTGATGGTGGGGAGACTGACTCCAACAGATTTCTGTGCAGCCTTCACCACTCTCTGCAAAGCTTTTCTTTCTGCAGCTGTGCAGCCTCCATGCCACACATTGATGCTCGAGCACAGGATGCTCTCCACTGCACACCTGTAGAAGGAGGTGAGGACTGAGCTTCCCAGACCAGCTCGCCTCAGCCGTCTGAGGAAGTAGAGTCTCTGATGAGCTTTCTTGATCAGGCTGGTGGTGTTGTTGCTCCAGCTGAGGTTGTCATTCATGTGTACACCCAAGTACTTGTAGCTGGAGACCACTTCCACCGCAGATCCTCTTATGTTCAGGGGGGTGTAGGTGTTTTTGTTCCTTCTGAAGTCCACAATCATCTCCTTTGTCTTCTTCACATTGATGTGAAGGTTATTCTCTCTGCACCAGCTCTCCAGGTGTTCCACCTCCTGCCTGTAGCTGGACTCATCATTGTTTGTGATGCATCCCACCACCGCTGTATCATCTGCAAACTTTACAATGTGACAGCCTGGATGGGTAGCTGCACAATCATATGTGAGCAGAGTAAACAGGAGGGGGCTCAACACACATCCCTGAGGAGAGCCAGTGCTGAGGGTTATGGTGGAGGAGGAGACGTTGTGGATCCTCACTAACTGTGGTCTGTTTGTTAAAAAGTCTAGTACCCAGTTGCAGATGGAGGGGCTTAGTCCTAGTGTGGATAGTTTGTCCATCAGGGTTTGGGGGATCATGGTGTTGAAGGCGGATGTGAAGTCCACAAAGAGCATACGGACGTAAGAGTTTTTCTGCTCCAGGTGGTTGAGTGCAGTGTGGACCACAGAGGAGATTGCATCCTCTGTTGATCGGTTCTCACGGTATGCGTACTGATGAGGGTCCTCGTTGATGTTGATGGTTGTTTTGATGTGAGTCATGACCAGTTTTTCGAAGCATTTAGCGACTATCGGGGTGAGGGCCACTGGCCGATAGTCATTCAGACCAGTCACTGTAGAGCTTTTTGGGACTGGGATGATGGTGGCAGTCTTCAGGCAGGTGGGAACTGTCTCCAGGGTAAGTGAGGTGTTAAAGATGTCTGCCAGCACCTCACAGAGCTGATCAGCACATTCCTTCAACACTTTTCCGGGGATGTTGTCTGGGCCAGTTGCTTTGTGCGGATTAATCCTCCTGAAGGTACTCCTTACTTCTGCTGAGGTCACGCTGAGATGCTCTTCATCCGGTGGTGAGGTGAGTCTGGTGCTGGGTGGTCTGTTCGGGTCTTCAAAGCGTGCATAGAACTTGTTGAGGGCATCAGGCAGAGATGGGTCTTTGGGACATTGTTCACTCCTTCCTTTATAATCTGTTATGCACTTAATGCCCCTCCACATGCTCCGAGGGTCTTGTGAGATGAATTGACCCTCGATCCTCTTTGCATATGTGGCCTTGGCCCTCTTAATACCAGCAACCAGCTCTTTTCTTGTCCTACTCAGCTCCTCTGAGTTTCCAGACCTGAAGGCAGTGTTCCTGGCTTCCAGCAGGGTACGCACCTCTGCATTCAGCCAAGGTTTTCTGTTTGGGTAGCTTTTAACATATCTGATAGTGGAGACTGTGTCAGTACATGTACTAATGTAACCCAGTACTGAGGATGTGTATTGGTCAAGATCAAGCGAACCTCCATTTTCAGCAGCTTCTCTGAAAACCTGCCAGTCTGTTCGATCAAAACAATCTCTCAGTATGGGGCCACTGTCCTGGATCCAACATTTAACTTTCTTTTGAACCGGTCTGGAGCGTCTCAGCGGGGGGCATGTAAGCAGGAGCCAGGAAGATTGAGATGTGGTCTGACAGTCCTAGGTGGGGGCGGGGTTCGGCTTTGTATGCATCTTTTACGTTCGTGTAAACACGGTCCAGCGTGCGGTCTCCACGTGTCGGAATCGTCACATGCTGATTAAAGCTTGGGAGACAGTCCTTTAGATTCACGTGGTTAAAGTCTCCGGCTACAGATAACATAACATAAAACTTTATTGTCTATCACAATTGTGGCAGAAATTCTCCTTTGACATGTTCTTCATTCATCATTCATACACAAGAACCAGCAATAGAACATAATTTAAAAAACACATTATTACAATTAGTAAACACCATTAAGATGTAACTATTGAGCTTTGGTTAAGAACATTATACTGTATATATATATATATTTTTTTTTCCTTAATAATTTTAGCATTTGTCTCAGAATTAAAATATTATTCTGTGTGTTCTTTTATTTTAGGTCTTAGTGAGTAGTTCCATAAGGACATTTTTGCACTTTTAGGAGTAAACTTACAGGTCGTTTCTGATCCTCTCAGAGCTTCACTTGCCTCATTTGCGTACACAGCATATACAGCAAGCTGGTACTCAGTCAGAGAGCGGAGATGCTGTAACACCACCGAAGTCTCACCGCCGGTCACTAGAGACTGCAGAAATGTGAGTCAGAAAAAATAAGGGATAACAAGAGTATGGGAATAAATGGTAGGGGAGAAAAATGGGGACAAAAAATTAGCAGGAAAATGGAGGAAGATGAAAATGGCAAATGGTAGAAAAGAAGGGAGGACATACAAAACGTGTATAAATACAAAACAAAACAAGAGGAAATACAATTGCTTTTTCATGGTAAAACATCTGAATACTGTATTTTATTCAGGAGTAAAACATGACAGTTATGCTAAACATTAAGGTTGGGTTGAGTCAGCTGAAGACGGACCCATTCCTTTTCCTGACCATGTGGTCTCAGCAGTTATATGAAAGATTTAAGGTTTTCTGTGGTCAAATATTCAGGAAAACTCAAGCAGTTGTCCAAATCAGTGGCTGTGTTACTTTCAGCTTGCACTTCTAACCCCACAGAACAAACAGAGGAATGGAGTGACAGAGGAGAGGTATAAATGAATGAAATCACCAGAATATTAAAGCAATAGTTGTAGTTCGTAGGATTGTTGTTGTATTAAAACATTGTCAGTCTCAGCGGTTTGTTCAAATTAGTGCTTAGGAGAAAAAACACACATGCTCATCCAAACTACACTGCATATCAATATGATGATCAAAATATCACAGTTCAAGACATTTAACTTGAAAAATAGTCCAACCTTTAGAGACTCACACTGTGCAATTTCTTGGCAGGCGTTTGTATATTCCTTTTATTACATTTGGAATTTAAAAAGGGAAAGGAGGACAAGCAAAAAGTACCAGCTGTGGATCTCCAAGTCAAACTCATGACTGCTAATTTTTGTACAAATTTGTCACAACAAAAAAATTATCTGTAAATCTTTTAAACCCATTTTTGCATCTTGCATGGCCAAGACCTAAATTTCATCCTAAAAGATTTACTCGTTGTTTACAGAAACAACAATCCACACATTGATGCCGCTGATCAGAAAATTCCTGGCACATGCCCAGCAGTGCCTTTGATTTGTTCCTTGTCTGTTAGCCAGTCATTGTTCCTCATGAGTCATGCATCACCTGATCACCTTAATCTGAACCAGTCAGAAGCAGTGCAGGGCAGATCATGACTTCCTGTTTCAACCAGTGTCCTGTAAGTAATGTAGTTCATAATTAATCTGGATGGGTTGATGGATGAGATTGTATAAATATTTGCAAGTGCAACGAGCAACATCATTTAGCTGTAGCACTTGTATTGAAGCCTGGTGCATGTCTTGCAGAATTATTACATTTCTGTCAGAATAACTGTAACAGTTGATCCCACAAAGTTAAGTCAGGTCCTCTGGATGGTTTCTTTATGTTGAAATGTTTTGTCCTTCATCCAAAGGACTTCATCAGTCCAAGGAGCCACAACAAACTCAGTCCGTGAGTTGTTTTAACCTGGATTATTGAGCATGAACTTTAATGTAACAATTTAGAAAATAGTTCGCAATCACTGCTGCATGTTTTTCTTTTAGAACTGAGTCAATTTAAGATGGCTGTAATCCACTTTGGTCTTAGTTTGACTTAAATTAATCAATCCTGAACACAAACTATTTCTGTAGCCTAACATCCTAAAAGCTCTGCTCAACAAGTAAGATTCATGTTCTTTTCACAGAACCTTTAAAACATAAATAAATAAAAACAATCTCAAATGAAAAACAGGCTGATTGTCCTGAACAATGACCACTAATGTAAATCAAATCAAACTGGCAGTGTTGCCAACCAAGATGGCTCAAACTAACATTTTTAAGTTGTGGGACATACCTCAGCACATATTCATACAACATATTTATAGGCTACACTGAACAAATAAATAGTTGTAAAATGATTACTTGCAATAATATTGCCATTGTATTTTATTTATTTATTTGTTTGTTTGTTTGTTTGTTTACCTCCTGTGGTTCTCCTCCCCGAACAGGATAATAAACCACTTTGTATTTAACAACTTTTCCAGGCGCAGGACTCCAAGAGACTCGAAAACTTTGAGCAGTGATCTCTGATGTCTCCATGTTAAGTGGCATTCCCATCTTCTCTTCTAAAAGAATAAAAGACAGTTATTCAAACATGTAAAACAATACGTGATCACTACTGGTAAGGACACTTGGAATGAACTTTATATGTTTCAAGGATGAGGAAAAAATATAGACAGATACATACTTCTTCATTTTGCATCACACACACATATACATATGAGCACACATGTACATACATATATTTGATTGCCATAACCAAGTGGCTGGAATAAAATACAGGAACAGCTGTTCCAAGTGGAGGTCCCACAGTCAAAGTTGAAGATGCTACCATGGAATGCAATGATACCAGACCGACAAACTGGTGATAGCTAACCAACTGGACATTGTGGCCGACAAGTAAGAGAAGAAGGCAGCATACATGACCTAATATATGTTTTAAGATTTGCATACATTACTAAAATACATGAGATTTGTATTACAATAAACAAAAACTATCAAAAAAATGTTCATACACTAATCTAAAGTCCACGCCAGTAAAAAAAAAAAGGTTTCTGTTTATTGCCTTCTGCTCAGTTCTTTTTTCTTACTCTGCCTGATGTCTTTGTCCTGCTGCTCCACTTGTTCGCAAACCATTTTCGTCAGTGCCTCGACTATTAAGCTCATAACGTTGAAGTCAGCAACATTGTAGATGTGAGTTTCCTCTGGCTCTGAAGCAATGTAGCGTAATTCATTCTCATCTGCATTCTTGACACCTGGAAATGTACAGACACGTGAATTTTAGTAGAACGTTAATTGCAAAAAAAAAGGAAAAGAGGATCAGAGAGATGTTCTAATTAATGTACCTAAACAGAGAAGGTCATCAATGGTTAAAAACTTAACAAGGAATAAAGTTTTTAACAACTTATACAGGTTGGTTTGTTCTCACCAATAGCAAACAGCTCAACACCAGCCTCCCGCAGGCTTTTTGCTGGTGGTATAACATCATCCTGGGATTTTCCATCTGTGATGAGGATCCCAATCTTTGGCACACCGAGCCGTGAGCCAAACTCCGGTTTGAAATAGTTCTCAGATATAAAATTTAATGCAAGGCCTGTGGGAAGCATTACAGAAACAAACAAAAGAGGAAACGGGATTCCAATGCAAGACACAGGTAATGCGATAACATCTATCACACAAAAACAAATACAAACTAGAAAAAAAGGCATTTTCTGTGAAAATGCTGTGTGGATGCTTATTGCTGAATGATTTTGCTGAAAGCTGCTTAAAACCTAACTCTTACTTGAAATACATCAATAGCTGAATATTGGAAAGAAGAAGCTTCAAGACACACCAAAAGAAAAGAAAAAAGACAAACAAAAAAATGCTAAAAAGTTTGAACTAGTTGAAATAAAATGCTAAAAAGAGCAGAAAAGCAGGTATTAGACAAATAAAAAAACTAGAAGTTGCAGAAATTAAAGCAGAAGTAGTAAAAGGTTATCAAAATGCAGGAAATCTAGCTAGTAGCCAAAAGTAGTAAAATTCTAGAAAGAAAAATGGCTACTGTATATAAAATAAGTTTGTTTTTTGCAAGTTCTTAAAGCAAAAGACCAGATTTGCCTCTTGTGAAAACAAACAAAAGTCATATGAATATATTCAGTACCTGTGAGAGTATTTCCTCCTTTGTAGGGCAGAGTCCTGACTGCATCAATAACAGCATCCTTAGTGGAGTAGGTATTAAGATGCCATTCTACCCTAGGATCCCCACTGTATTGTGCCAGACCTAAAAGCAAAAGTGTTCACTTGCACAACCGTTCTGTTACTTTTTTTAACAATGTTCAGAATGAATATGAACAAATTTACCTTTGTATCTATAACATCAAATATCCATAATCATATGGGAGATTACCTGTGTGAGAGGAAACAAGGCTGAGGCATACCTATTCTTGTCTTATCAATGTCAACATCAAAGGCATTGACCAGATTTTCCAAAAACATCCGGACCAGTTTGAAGTTGACCCGACCAATGCTCCATGATCCATCCACCAGGATCACAATATCTGCAATGGCCTCGGTGTGGCACACAAACTGATTAGCTAAAACACAGGGAGGGGAGAGGGAGTTAACAATGACACTGGCTGGAAGTACAGAACCAAATAAATACATTAAATACATTTACAAATACAAGATATACAGTTTCCATCCATCCATCCATTTTCTTCTGCTTATCCGGGGTTGGGTCGCATGGGTAGCAGCCTGTGTAGGGGGCCCCAGATTTCCCTCTCCCCAGCCACTTGGTCCAGCTCCTCCAGGGGAATCCCAAGGTGTTCCCAGGCCAGCCAAGAAACATAGTAACTCCAGCGTGTCCTGGGTCTTCCTCTGGGTCTCCTCCTGGTAGGATGTGCCCGGAACACCTCACCAGGGTGGCGTCCAGGAGGCATCCGAACCAGATGCCCGAGCCACCTCAACTGGCTCCTCTCAACGTGGAGAAGCAGCGGCTCTACTCTGAGTCCCTCCTGGATGACCGAGCTTCTCACCCTATCTCTACAGGAGAGCCCAGGCACTCTGCGCACTCTTTTTCCCTCATTCGTGAACAAGACCCTGAGATACTTAAACTCCTCCATTTGGGGCAGGACCTCCTCCCCGACCCGGAGAGGGCACTCTACCCTTTTCCGGCTCAAGACCATGGCCTCGGATTTGGAGGAACTGATCCTCATCCCGGCCACGTCACACTCGGCTGCAATCCACTCCAGTGAAAGCTGTAGATCACGACCTGATGAAGCCAATAGGACCACATCATCTGCAAAAAGCAGAGACGTGATCCTAAGGCCACCAAAACGGATCCCCTCAACACCTTGGCTGTGCCTAGAAATTCTGTCCATAAAAGTTATGAACAGAATCGTGACAAAGGGCAACCTTGGCGGAGTCCACCTCTCACTGAGAACGAGCCCGACTTACTGCCGTCAATACGGGCCAAGTTCTGACACCGGTTGTACAGGGACCTAACAGCCCATATCAATGGGCCTGGTACCCCATACTCCCGGAGTACCCTCACAGGGTTCCACGAGGGATGCAGTCAAACGCCTTTTCCAGGTCCACAAAGCACATGTAGACTGGTTGGGCAAAGTCCCACGCACCCTCCAGGACCCTGCTGAGGGTGTAGAGCTGGTCCAGTGTTCCATGACCAGGACGAAAACTGCACTGCTCCTCCTGAATCCGAAGTTCAACTATCCGATGGACCCTCCTCTCCAGAACCCCTGAATAGACCTTACCAGGGAGGCTTAAGAGTGTGATCCCCCTGTAGTTTGAACACACTCTATGGTCCCCCCTTTTTGAATAGGGGGACCATCACCCCAGTCTGCCAATCCAGGGGAACTGCCCCCGTTGTCCACGCAATATTGGAGAGTTGTGTAAGCCAGCACAACCCCACAACATCCAGAACCTTAAGGAACTCCGGGCAAATCTCATCCACCCCTGGGGCCCTGCCACCGAGGAGCTTTTTAACCACCTCGGTGACTTCAGCACCAGAGATTGGAGAGCCCGACCCAAGGTCCCCAGGCTCTGCTTCCTCAGTGGAAGATGTGCCAGTGGGATTGAGGAGATCTTCAAAGTATTCTGCCCACCAACCCATATACAGTTTCCATTTCTATTATATAATCCTAACTGCATTTAGGAAAACAATTCTTCATTTTGCAAGTTCATGTTATTGAGTTGTTGGCTAAAAATCCATGTACATCTTAACTAGAAAAAAATATCAGATTTACATGACTCAAACACAGAGAAGTACTGAAGAAATAAAAACATTGATCTCATCATAAAGTTTTACACAAATGCAAACAGACAATGTAGACCAAGCTTTCCCACACAAAAAATGCATAGTTTGTTTATTTTCATGAGCTAAAAATACTTTGCATCTTTGAAGTCAAAATGACAAGTTAAACTTTTTTCCCCCTCAATTTTGTGGTATATTTTTAACTTGTCCAGATGACATGATTTAACCTTTTTTGTACTGCCCTAATGTATTTGTATTTAGTCCCCTCAAAAATTCCCCTGTAAAATATATACTGTTGTCCTGATTACTAGACGGCAGTATTGGACAGGTAACTGTAAATCTGCTAAACATATTCTGGCGATCCTTAGGTAGTGCTGCATCTTGCTGCGCCACATTTTCATTGCTTTTGTGAGAAACAGTCTTTGTATGTGTGATTGAAAACATGTAGGCCTAAGTGCATTAATCTGTAATATGACATTAACATGCTGTATTGTTTATCAAAGTGTAATTCGTTGTTTAGAGATTGTTGCTTGTTAAGTATTCAGCTTGTTTACTGAAGTGAATTGATCAAACTATGTTATTAATCTTGTTATTGAGCTAAAAGGTGCTAATGTAAAATGCTAAGTTGTTGCTAGGTAATTTGTTTCATTTGCCTTTGTACCTTGTTCATGGTGAAGCTAACCTCTGTATATTTAATTTATGTTAGTTGTTGTTAAATTGCAGATACCATACAACTGTCTATGCAGCTGTTTATAAATGCTGATGTAACCAAGAATGGGTGCAGTTTGAGCCTCTCAGTAAAGTTTGGGGAGGCTAAATTTCTGCTTGCTTATTTTACCCATCTGACCAGAGCTCCCCTGTTGATGAGGAATTAGCTATTCAGTTATAATTTCCAACACTGGTCCTTCAGGCCAAATCAGTTCACCACAGCAGTAAACACAGATGAGCATTAAACAGCATCAACATCGCACTAACAGATCAAAGAAAGACAATGCACTTTCTTCCACATCTGATTGACCATCATGTGACCTTGCCCCCTACGTTGCAGCCCTCTGCTCTTGGTGTAGAACGACATACTGTCAGTAACACACCCCAGAGCTAACACATTACAGCTGCAGTCCCTAAGTATGTATCTCTGAGGTCGTTTTCACACCAGATAGTCCGGTAGACTCTGTTCGGTTCGGGACCAATATTCATGAGCTTTTGTTTACATTTGAGCTGGTGCATTTGCATTCACACTGCACTGTGCAGTCGAGTCAACCTGTTGAACCAACCTATTCCCCCGCTCGCCTGTGGGGGCGCTGCACCAAGAACTACTGAAAGAAACGACACAAAAACCTCTGAAGACATGTCTTCTTCTTCTTCTGTAAATAAAAACAAAAACGAAGTGGCATCAAGTTTTAGCAGTTTTAGGAGTTATATTTTGTCATTTTTCAAAAATGGACTTAGCATGAGCAGAAGATGAAACAGAAGACCATGGAGAATATTGTTTTTCCACACAAGGCAGCTGACGGATCCATATAAGGTCAGAGAAATGTGTGTTTGTTTACCCTGAGGAGCGGGCTCGGTCTGTTTACATTCACACTGCACTCGAACCGCGCTGGAGTTCGCTTCTACCAGACTGAGACCTAGGTTTTAGCCCGGGCCAGAGTTCGCCTTTTTGTTCCGTGACAGAGTTCGATGGCGCGTTCACACCTCCCTAAACAAACCGGACTTTCAAGGAAAACGAGCTAGAGTTCGATTAAAGCGGACTAAACAGGGCTAGTGTGAATGCACCCTGAGTCCGTTACCATTGTCTTGCTTTGTTGCTGTTTCAACTCTCATCGATTCTGCACCACACCTCACCAGTTAAGAGCATGCCTACTGCCAGTACCCAGTAAACTTAGCCTGGTTTATGGGACGACCTTGTTTGTGGTTCCAAGTGGACTGCTCCAAGGGACGATTTTGACACAAGAAGACAACAGCCGTTGATTGGCCAGCGGCGTTGTCACTGGATGACCTGCCCAACAAAACTGCAAACTAGATCTGAACCTTCATTTCCTCTCTGATCATGTTGACGGACGGTGCCACAAGAAATGAGAGTATTTACATGGAGATATTGGAGATGATGGTGCAGCATGGTTACACCCAGACTTATAAGCAGTGCTGGGATAACCTAAAGAAACTGAAGTCCAATTATAGGGGAATTAAGGACCACGATGGGAGGAGTGGCTCTAACACAATGACCAGTTACAGTCTCACCCACTTTGCATTGATGATCCCACTCACAAAATGGGGAAACAAGTCAGTGGCAAATCACCTACACCCGAGGAGACGCGATAAGATGAGAGCCGAGTGGATCCACACTAATCAATAGCAAAGCAGCTTTGATGACTAGTCACATTACAAGTGACAATATTCAAGATAGTATAAAATGCACACATACACACACTGATGTTTTATTTCTTTAGGACTTCCATGTGACTCAAATGTGTTTTTGAAGCCATTTACTGAATAAAATATAAAACAATCCATCCCCTGACTTTAACAAAACAACAGCGAACAATAAAATAAAAATGTTACTACTTCTTAAACAATGGCATGTCTGTTGTCAAATTTTAAAGCTTTCATTCACTCTGTTAGTCCTTGGAGCATCTGTTGGAGATGATTTTCAGCTATCACACCAAATTTTAGCTCAATATTTGTAAAACTAACTGAGTTAAAGCCATTCTTGTGTTTTTTAAGATTGATTGACTGTGGTGTTATTCAATTTATATTGAATTGTGGATGTACATCCATTGATTACTTTCAATAAAATGTGTCTAGTCATTCTTATGATTTATTGCCAAAAGGCTGTAAAACAACTGAACATATCAGCACAGATTCACAAGCAGTTACATGATTGCCTGCTTTTCATCGCAACAAAGAATAAAACGTCAACAATATCAAACTACCTAAGCTTTACCTAAGATTTCTTGCTCATATCCCCACAATATGACTAAGACACATAGTTGTCCCACATTATAATTCAATAAATCCTTATTTCATATATCCCAGTATTTTATCGTGAAATGATTTTATCCACTAAACGTTGTGTCATAGATAACTTTTTGGTCTACAATTGCAAAATAGCTCAAATGTGCTGACAAGGAGATTTATGTCTTAGCAAAGAACAGTGACTAAGAAAAGGATGCTGACTGTAGGAAAAGTGAAATATTACTTGGCTCAGAACAGTATATCTTAAGAATTAAGACAGATTATGAAGTGGGCAGATAAATCAAAGAAGAAAATTCTGTTTGTAATAACTACCATAAAGTCATTCAAAGCTGAACATGACAATATTTA